ATGCCTAATGTAAGCGCTTCCCAATGAGAAAATGACAAGACAAGGGTGAAAATCTCACTCTAATTAAATGTAGGCTAAATCGCCCTGAATTAAAATGTAAAAACAGATCAAATAATGTATTTGTCGAAATGTTGCGATATTGTTTCATTTAAGTTCATAATTATTATATAAATGTTATTTAATTTAGCAGCATTACTACGAAGCACCGTGTTTCGATATTTATTTGAATAATAGAAAATAAAATAAAAACTTAATTCACAAATTGCATGCCTGGTTGTAAGGATCCAAAGATCCCTGTAGACTTTAATATTGAGTTGAACATTTTGTTCATGACAACAAATTAACAAGCGTTTTTTTTTCAGATTATATTTAGTTTTGCTTGGAAAAAGCTGTCCCAAACCAGTTTTATTTCATCAATTATTGAAATAATGAAATATTTAGTAATAAACTTGACAGAAATATCACTAGGCTACATGTAACTTAAATAATTTAATTCCTTCATTATCAACACTGTCTAGAATAGCGATTTAAGTGTGAATTGAGACTTCTCTTTGTGTTAAGTCAGCCTCAGACTCAGATAGCCGGTGGGGGGTTGGAGGGACAGTTGCTGGACAAAGGTGTTAATGTTCCTCTTTCATATGGAGAGTGTCGGATAGCCAGCCTGATGAGCAGGCAAAATTATTGTAAGGATACATCTGTGTCCAAATGTAGGCCCCATATCTTATTAAATTATAAATATTGTAGTTTATTTATTGTAGCCTATTTAAAGTTTTTTTCACACAAAATTTCAATTGAAGTTATTGTAAGGTGAATTCAACAAGGCATGCTGTGTCTTTGAAGGAACAATTAAAGGCTAAATAATTTTTTCGTGATTTGTATGGCTGACACGCAGCGACATATACAGTATTATCAGCTGTATGATGTGTTTTTACCCTGAAATGTTTAATTTCGAGAGAGACCCGGTGCGCGCAGCGAGGGAGACTAAATAAACTTGTTAAAAAGAGATCCAGCGCGAGAGAGACAAAGAAAAACACATGTTTTTAATTTAATTATGTTTCTTTGGACAATTTTCGTTTTGTACTGTTTTAATTGTTTAATTTAGATGTAATTTCTTTGGCAATACAAATTTTAAATATCGCAAGAATAAGATTAGCCTAGTGTTTCTTATTTTGCATCGCAAAAGAAATAAACTCTAAACCCGATGCAACCCTGTTTTAAATAAAAAAAAACTGTCCCGACTCTTTATTTAAACCTTGAAATGTTCGAACTTGGTTTCAAACTTAAGTAATTTTAGTGTTCTTTTGCATTACACAATAATCTAGCAGACTAAAGACGAGCTTCTTCATTTTCATTTTCTGACGCAATCGGCTGACAAACTTCCTTCATCAGTTTTTGTCGTTTGTGCAGCGGCTGCGGTTCTACAGGAATGTAGCAAATTTATGTTGTAATGATAATTAAACAAAACTCTTGACTTTAAATAAGTAAACAGTTATAAACAGTTACTATTTAAGCATCAAGGTGGTAAAATATAAACGCTGTAGGACAACATCGGTTAACAACATGTAGGCCTATGCTACATTGAGATTCGATCTCGGGTCGATTGAAGCTCCTCGAAGCTCGTGTTGTTGCGTTGATCACTGAGCTACCGTCTGTATGCTGTTAAAGTTGTAAAGCCTCATTGATGTAGCCTAAATGTTTTTATTGCAATGTTTTATGTTGAAATGTTTTCATTATTTATTCAATTACATTTCAGTAGCCTAATTTCAGTATTGTGATTATGAATTATTTTAGCTACGTTTCACTTGTTGAATTCATCTGCTACCAGCTTTCAATCGCTCTGAATCAGCGCGGTGTGGCAGCAGATTACGCATTAGGGAGAATAAACCGGTATAAACGAACACTTTTATGATTGTAGCGCCTCTTAGCGGTAAAAGGCAGCAAATACACCACACATTTTACCACCGCGGTGGAACGGCTGATGTGGGCATTGTCATGGCTTGCCTCGACATTTGCGTTTGAATAGCGCGCGTCCTCCGTGGGCGTGTCAGATTAACGCGTAATGAAGTGTAATGAGCTGGGGAAAAAAATACTGACAGCACTCTCTTTTCATACAGATTGCATAAACTGAGAATATTTGTTTTTTATATAAATTACTTCATTTAAAAGAAGAGAATTCAAGCTTCATAAAGAAAAACCTCTCGTGCCTGTGTGACAAGTAATCGCGGAGTTACAGTTAATCTTAGGACGCGTTTCAGAATGGACTTCACTGACAGAGAGAACGCAGAACTCGCATCATGTTTGTTTTTCTTTATTTGGTGAAAAGCACAACACTTTGTTTTTATTGTGAGTATCCACAAAAAAAATAGAAACTTAACAGGATCTAATGATGTATAACACTTAAATGTAAGATCAAAATCAACCGAGTATTTTGAGTCTCTTTTGCACTGATAAGAAAAAAAGCGAGCAGATCACGCCGGCACACAAGGTCTTTTGGGGGTCCTTGAGATGTTTTGACATGCCCTGACATTTGTGCTTTTTTCAGTTGCTTATAAACATATTAATGGCACAGGTGAAATTACACTCTATTTAGCACACACAGGGCTACCATAATATGTGAGCAACATGTATGTACATGTTTGTATTTTTGAGAGAATATTGTTTATGCATGGTTATTGAAAAAACTAAAAATTAAAGTTTCTGAAATAAAGCCACAAAACACATACTAAATATGTGTCCACAAGACTTTTGACTAATGGATGTTGTCGCCTAGAGTTTTTGCTTCAAAATGATCTGAAAATCATCCTGCCTAATCATTCACATAAAACAATAGATTGTTTAAAATTGTGAAAAAAAAAAAAATTTGTTTGGAAAGGCAATATGCGTGGCCCAACCCTCTCATGAATAATTAGGTGGATCTCACCTGAGAAGACAAAGATCCGCATAATAATGAGCCGTTCATTCAGGTGTGTCACACAAGAAAGAATGCAAGGACAATACACACACACACACACACACAGATACATGCATACATACATATATATATATATATATATATATATATATATATATATATATAATCAAAATATAAATGAAAGTCAAAAGCACATTTTTAGTCATACCTGGAAACAAATCCTGTTCAAATAGGTTATATGGGCCATTCTACAGAATTGGTTCAAAGTTAGAGTTGGAAACATCTTGAAAAGAAAATTGTCTTTTTCCATAAATGTCTTAGTAGGCCAATACATTTTATCATACATATTTCAAAGTTAAGGATTCATTATTTTGATATAGCTTGCATTGGAACAAACACTATTCTTAGTTGATTAGTTTATTGACAAAACATACTATATATTTGACATATGAGCAGAAACTGCTAACAAAAGCTTATTTGATGTCTATTTTAGAGTTAAAACTTTATAATCTATCCAAAACTAGTCATACACACAGACACACAGAAACATGATTCAAATTTAAACAGTAGGCTATTTTTGCGTTTACAGACACTATCGTTATTATATATCGCGATTAGAACAAATCACAAAAATAAAAACACTTACAGTTCAGCTCGCTCCTCGAAGTGAAAATAAACCAGCACTCGTTCTGAGGTAGGTAAATGTCCCAGGATTATTCCTCACAGCCGCGCAAGACGACAGTACATTAATCTGACTAAATAAAGTGTTTACAGAGTTTATATGGGCGTTTACACGTCTCAATGTGTTGCTTCAGATCATTAGTGTTTGAATAGCGCTCCGTGGGCGTGCCACATTAGCGGAATAATGAGATGCGAGAACGATAATGAGAACGGCAGACACATCTGTCTTTTTATATAGATTACATAAACAGGGAATATTTATTTTAGTTTTAAATTAGATAATTTAAAAGTACAAACTTAAATGATCATAAACATATATTGCTCATGTCTGGGTGAATAGTATTCGCTGAGTTTTGTTTAAGTTTAGAGACGTGCTCCAGAAAAAAAGTTCACGGACACGGAGAGGCAGAACGCACACCCTGTTTATTTTCTTTATTTTACAAAAGCACAATATTTTATTTTGATTGTAGGTGGGCACATAAAAAAGTAGACATTTAACAGTTTTTTAAAATATGTTTCATAACTCTGTATGACCAGAAATGATGGAGTAGTTTAAGTCTATTTTTTCTGCTATGTGAAAAAAATCTGCCAAAACGCACGGGTGCGTTCTTGGTCCTCAGAGGGTTAATAAGGGTAAAATGATCTGCAAACAGATCGTACCATTCACATCAAGCAAGGAAGACTAGCATGCTATGGTGCACTGCTCATTGTTGTGCAATTATTCCCCTCCTAGTTAAAAATATTATAAATCATAAGCACGCACTTCACCAACTCACCGAAGACACCAACTATCCCAGCTATTTTATCTCATGCCTCGTTCTTTTGTAACTGGTCCCTATAAGCAAACAACGTCATGTCATAAATGATAGGAAACCCAGCAACGGCGATTATTAGCTTCTCCTCCATTTTCTCGGAACTAATGTTTTGGTAGGAACTAAAGTTTACATTGTATGTTTCTCCGGAATCAGCTAGCGCGAAGGAGGTCTATATTCCGATTGGTTGTTGGCGTTTTGCCGCTGCTTGCCGCTGAACTGCGTCATAGCTCATTACCATAAAGGTGAGCTTCTTTCAACTTTCTGACTGATGCTCAAAATGCCCAAAACGCGACACCGATGGATTTGACGCTCCTTGCAGAGAAGCCAGCTTCCATTGAAAATGAATGACTTCCGGCCGCTTTGGAAGCTCAAGTCGGCGGCGGTGTGAACGTACAGTAACTCGTAGTTGCTTGTCGGGTGAGGGGTGTTGTGAATTATTTATTAAATATAGAAAATAATTGTGTCTGATCTGGTCTGTGTCTCAGTCACTACACATTCAACACCTTTTTAAAGTGGGTATAGGATCTAGTTGTATGTATGTTTTAATGTCCCATTAAACTAGGGTTAACTTTTATTTGTCTTTTTTGCCTTAGACCTGATGGCGCTGAAAGAGGAGAGTCAAGTGCTGAATGAAATAGAAGAGAAAGATCAATATGAGAATCATCATGATTTCACAACTGAAGAAAAATCTTTTAGCTGCTCACAGACTGAAAAGCCTTCATCACAAGAAAAAGCTCAAAAGACAGAAAATAAAAGTTATTTCACCTGCCACCTGTGTGGAAACAGATTCACTCAAAATGGAAGCCTTAACAGGCACATGAGGATTCACAATAAAGAGAAGCCTTACACCTGCCAACAGTGTGGAAAGAGTTTTTATCAACATAAAAACCTTGAAGTCCACATGGTAGTTCACAGGGGAAAGAAGCCGTACACCTGCCCACATTGTAGAAAGCGATTCAACCGAAAAGGAAATCTTAATAACCACATGAGAATTCACGCTGGAGAGAAGCCTTACACATGCAAACAATGTGGTAAGAGTTTTGATCAACATGAAGACCTTAAAGTCCACATGAGATCTCACACTGGAGAGAAACCCTACAAATGCCCTCAGAGTGGAAAGAGTTTCAGTCAACATGGAAACATTGAAGTCCACATGAGAGTTCACACTGGAGAGAAACCCTACACATGCTCTCAGTGTGGTAAGAGTTTCAACCGAAAAGGAAACCTTAACATGCACATGGTAGTTCACACTGGCGAGAGCCCTTACACCTGCCAACAGTGTGGTAAGAGTTTCAACCGAAAAGGAAACCTTAACATGCACATGGTAGTTCACACTGGCGAGAGCCCTTACAGCTGCCAACAGTGTGGTAAGCGTTTCAAACGAAAAGGAAACCTTAACATCCACATGAGAGTTCACACTGCAAAGAGCCCTTACACCTGCAAACAACGTGGAAAGAGTTTTGATCAACATGGAAACCTTAAAGTCCACATGAGATCTCACTCTGGAGAGAAACCCTACACATGCCCTTAGTGTGGAAAGAGTTTCAGTCAACATGGAAACCTTGAAGTCCACATGAGAGTTCACACTGGAGAAAGCCCTTACACCTGCCAACAGTGTGGAATAAGTTTCACTGTAAAAGGAAACCTTAAAAGGCACATGGTAGTTCACACTGGAGAAAGCCGTTCATACATGATCTCTATGGAAAGAGTTAGCGATAGAAAGTTACCTTGAAGTATGAGCAATCACTTATTTTATTCAGGGAGTTGAATACATTTGAGACTGCAGAAGTCATGAAAAGTTGCATTTCCTGTTGAATTTGGTGAAACCACTTAAAACATTTGTTGTGTTGAGCTGAGCTATTTCAATTACTTTTGTTTGAATTGTTCATTGCAAACAGTTGAAAGTCTGTTAATTTTGCCAATAAACCTGATTTGCAATAGGGGTTGAATAACAACTGTGTGATTTATAAATAACTACTTATTTGAATGCTATGCATTTGTTACTCAGAAAATCCTAGTTAAGATGAAATGATTTGTTCGAGTACCATTTTGTCAAATATAAAAATATATTCTGATGTGTGGCAATCTTAATATAATTTTCACTAATTTCCCCCACTTCTGCAGTGTTTTTTTTTTAAATCTTTGATTGCATTCCCTCATTACCTAAAGTCATATTGAATGTTGTTAAATACAACTGAAAATGTTGAGAGCATCATAGGTGACTTCATAAATGAATGTTGATTCCCTAAAATGTAGTCTGAAGTCACCATTATAGTGATCAATGTTCTCTTTGGTTGGGCACTTTATATCAACATAATTGAATATCAACACAATTTATATCAACATAATTGTCTTTCTGTCAGTGTAACAAAATAACTTATTTGTGCTTATTTATTGTTACAGTCATGGTCAGCTTTCATTTCAGTTGCTTGACACCAAGGCTGTAGGTCATGTCCCTGGAGACCCACTGTCCTGTTAAATTTAGATCCAACTCACCAGGCGGCAATTTTCAAGTCATCCTCAAACCCTTGATTTTCTTGTTCAGCTGCGTTTGTGTTTATAAATCCTGGTAAATAAACGGTCAAATATGTCCGTCCAGCCCATGTTTACATAGAACATAATGGAAAAGCAGTGCAGAAAATGCATTGAGCATTTCTATTTCTGCAATGTTTCAAATTAACAACATAGTAGCGCCACAACAAGTGGGTTAAAGGACAACTCTGGCGCAAAATGAACCTATGGTGTAATAACACATTGGTACCTAGTCGAGCGTTCTCTGGGATGTGTTTTCATGATAATCGAATGTAAAGAGTTTTATCTCTAAAAACTGTTTAGCTTGTAACGCTAGTATATAGGGCAGGGGTCGGCAACAGGCGGCCCACGGGCCAAATCTGGCCCATGCCGCAGCCTGAAAAGTTCTGACAGACATTCAAAAGAGTCTGTGGATCGCTAGACACACCTCTAAAATAACATCATGAAATGTCTAATATTATATTAAATGCTTCTATAGCACGAGTTAAGTTTATCGTGCAATTTATACGCGAAAATGAGTTTTTACGTGCATATGATAAGCAGTTTTTTAAAGTAAGCTTCTGTTGTTGTACGTCACACGCATCACGCACATGACCAGCGTCGGCCAATAGTGAGCCTACGTGTGACATAGCTCTACAGAATCACACTACGTTAACTGACTAGAGGCCCAAAGAGAAGGAAATGAATAGGTGAAATAAAGTCGTTATTTTTGTTTGTTTTTGCGCACAAAAAGTATTCTCGTCGCTTGATAAACTTAAGATTGAGCCACTGTAGTCACTTGGACTATTTTAACGATGTCTTTAATAACTTTTCGAGGCCGGCAAGTTCAATCCCTGAAGAAGCCTATGGACTAGTATGGAGGAGTGATCCAGCTCTCAGATTTCATCAAAAATATCTTAATTCGTGTTCCGAAGATGAACGAAGGTCTTACGGGGTTGGAACAACATGAGGGTGAGTAATTACGGACAGAATTTTCATTTTTGGGTGAACTAACCCTTTAAGATAACTATACAAATCATCTCTGAACAAGCATAACACAGTTAAATTCCAAACATTTTAATATAATAGTTGTATATAATTATATATGTGGAATTTAAAGAGAATTGTCCAATAGCATCAACAAATGCTTATTATAATATATTATAATTAAACCATATATGTTCCCTAAATAAACCATACATACTCATTTTGTTAACCTTTTCAATATATTTTTACCTGGTAATCTACAAGCCCCAATGTGAGAGCCAGTGTAGTAAATTGTATCTCACATTCACATTACTGTGAGCTGACTGGAGTGTAGTTACAATAGTATACAAGTAGTATACAATAGTTTAACATTTAATTTTTGGTTTGTTTTTTTCTTACAGTGCATTAAGGCTATACATATCAGCGTGTTCTCTGGGAATTGAACTCGCAACCTTTTGCACAGTTAACAAAATGCTCTAATCACTGAGCCACAGAAACCTTATAGCAAGAGTTGTAGTTAACATCTTTATTTTCATAAAATAAGTAAACTGAAATATAGTTGTGGCGAATTTTCATCAAGGTCATGAAAATCTGGTCCTCAAGGATGATTTCTTTGGGTCTCCATCCAGCAAAGTACGTAATGGAATCCTCAAAACGAGCTGGCAATCCTCTGGCAATCCTGTCTCCATACAAATCACACTTTCACTCCTCTGAGAGGCTTAATACCTGTCATGACAGTTACTCATTTGTCCTTGGAGTTTGTCTTTGAGAAACTGAATCTCTGCTATAGAATGCTCTAACTCAATCTCAAGCTGGATTCTTTTTCTTTGTTCAGACTGCAGCTCTTCTTTAGTTGCGCTACTATTTGGTTATTCCTCAGAATTGATAGTGAGGGTTTGATCAGCCAGAGATGGTTCATCATCTTTGTCAGCCATAAATTGTGTAGCCATTTCTTCCTCTTCATTCATGGGTGGTGGAACATTTTTAGGCACATCAGCGCTATCCTGTCTCAGGGAGTATGAATGATCTTCCAAAATTTGTCCAGTGGGAACATCATTTGTGGATAAGAACAAACCAGGGACATTTTTCCCCCCTGCAGGAAAATGACAGCTGCAGATGCGAGAATGGACACTGGGCTTCCGGTCAGCTCGTCTAAGGATAAATTCAAAATAAGCAATGTTAGTTTTATGGAAGTTACACCTTTACAGATTAAAATTACAAAGGGGGTGGGGGTGTCACGGTAGACGCATTCTCTGTTCCTTCTCGTCTCGTGTTTATGTTGTGGTATGAATGCACGTGTGTAGTGGGCGTGAGTGTATGACATCACCTGATCCGCTCCAGCTGATTCCCATCCACTTCACCAGCTGCAATCACTCTCACCACTCTACTTATACTTACCGCTGTTCTATCATCTTTGTCAGATCGTTGTTTGATGTCGTTCGTGTTGGTGTTCCGGTGTCCAGTTCCTGCCTTGTGTTCCTGTTCTTCGTCTTCGTCGCTGGGTTTCGTCTGTCGTCTCATCGTCACCACACCTCTGCACTTCATCACGGATCCTGACCACCGAAGTCCCTGTGTCACCTGTTTACATCTGCCTGTACTGCTTCACTTCTACCATTAAATTACTGTTTCACTCGCTATTGCTTCCAGCCGTTCTTCACACGCCATGACAGAACGATCTGACCAAGAAATGGAAGCAGCGAGTTCAACTCAGAGATCGATGGAGGAGTTTGTTCATCATAGCATCAGGAGAATGGATTCTCACCAGAAAGAGATCGGCGACACGGGCCGCGCAGTACAGGCTTTGGTGACGCAGGTGTCTGAGCTCACCCAGCAGATCAAACGCCTACAGGGTCCCACTGCGCCGCCCACACCTGCCGTTCCTCCCACTCCACCTGAGCGACCCTCCCAGTCAGAGCCCCGCCTTCCGGTTCCTGAACATTATGCCGGTGAGCCAGCTTTCTGTAGAGCATTTTTGACCCGCTGCACGATGCACTTTGCTTTACAGCCCCGCACGTTCGACACAGAACAGGCTAAGGTGGCATTCGTTCTCACCTTACTGACTGGGAAGGCGGCGCTTTGGGGAACGGCGGTGTGGGAGAACCAACACCCATGCTGCGCCTCGTTCCAGACCCTCGCCGCCGAGATGAGGAAGGTGTTCGACAGGGCTGTCTCGGGAAGGGAGGCAGCCAGGAGACTGGCGGAGTTGAAGCAGGGAGAGAGATCGGTCTCCGAGTATTCAATAGAGTTTCGGACCCTGGCGGCGGAGTGCGGCTGGAACGAGGAGGCGCAGTGGGATATGTTCCTGCATGGGCTGGCTGACCACGTCCAGAGGGAGATCTATGCCCTGGATCTACCCACCACGCTCAACGGGTTGGTCGACTTGGCTCTGCGGGTGGACAATCGGCTGTCGAGGGTCGAGCGCCGAGTCCTGTCCGCCCGTTCCTTCGCAGGGGCCGACCCGTCACGATCCAGCGGCAGGGACGTGGTCAGCCCCGTCTACGATCCCGAGCCCATGCAGGTGGGTCGAGCTCGGCTTTCCCGGGAGGAGAGGGAGAGGCGGAGATCCCAGGGCCTTTGCCTGTATTGTGGGGGAGCCGGACACTACGCGTACAACTGTCCGGTAAAAGGCCAAGCCCGATAGTAAGATTGAGGCTACTATCGGGTGGGATCTCCGCTAGGAAGACCTCATCATCGATTACATCTACCTCCACACTCCTTCCGGTAAAACTGAGGTGGTCAGTCCAACAGCACGACTGCCATGCACTTCTGGACTCTGGGGCTGAAGGTAATTTTATGGACCACACTTTTGCACAGAAGATTCAGATTCCCCTCAGACCCCTCACTCACAGAATTGCAGTTCACGCACTCAACGGACAAGAACTTCCCACCATTTCCCTTTGCACTGAAGACATTACCCTCACCACTTCCGGCAACCATTCTGAAACTATTTCATTCTACATCATGGACTCACCTCTTGCTCCCGTCGTCCTCGGACATCCCTGGCTCATCCTTCACAACCCCCGAGTGGACTGGCACCATAGATCAGTACTGGAGTGGAGCAAGGAATGTCATAAGTCTTGTCTCGTGTCTGCCTGTTCGTCCGTGCCTGTTTCTGTGTTTCAGGAGGAAGCAGCGGATTTGTCTAACGTGCCCGC